GGAGATAGGAGATAGGAGATAGGAGATAGGAGATAGGAGATAGGAGATATGAAATATGAAATAGAAGGCATGAAATAAGGATCAGATATAGATGAAAAATGATACGAGGGAAAATGAAATTTAAGAGAAGTGGGAAAATTACTAAGAAAGATAAACAAATTAATAATTTGAGAAAAAGAAAATTCAACAAATATTATGATAGAGCAGTATGAACCACATAAAGAACTCTTCCATTTCTCTTCATGAAATCAAGCGTGAAATAGCATAAGAGATATGGCTATAGCTTAATAAATGCACAACTCTCTGTATAAGTTGCTCATTTGAGTCCTTTGTCTTGGCTCTAACTACGAATTCAATAGATTAAATTGCTTTACAGCAAGCTCCAACAACTCATTATGCATAGACCCACACAAATACACTGACCGAAAGAGTATGAATTTTAGCCGAAACGAGATCAGAGTTGATAATTTAACAATTGAAATAAATATAATAATAATAGCTCTAAATGCTTATATAATACTACTAATAGAACAAATATTTACTTTACTATGCGAAACTCCATAATTTTCCAATCGATTTCCACTTGAAATTTAGTACAGTTTTCTGTCAGTGTAATCAATATTATATTGCAATTTGCTATTTAATTGTTTGTGGGTTGTATGTGGCAAGTGCTGCGGATCCGAGTGAAGAGTGCATTGGGATTTCACGAATCGAAATGCATTTCCAATCAATCGGCGAGGGCGAACACCAAATGCAGTCAATTCAAAAGGCAAAACCAAGAGCAGAAGAAGAAGAAGAAGCAGAAGCTGAATAGGAAGAGGAAGCAGAGGCTGAAGCTGAAGCTGAAGCGAAAGCAACTCAATCCGGAACCAAGAAATTCATGTGAAACGCCATTTTAGCAGCCAACGCGCAATTGCGGTTAGCCTTTGCGTGTATGTGTGTGTTTATAGGTGAACGTATGTGTATGTGTATAGGTGTCCTCGTGTGTGTGCTTGCGCTTTGTTTTGTTGGCCACGTTTCCTCCGTTGTTGTTGTTGCTTCCGCTATTATTCGCCATCAATGAGCATTGTTTGCCATGGACTGAAGCTCAAATTGCCTCAGCCGTAAAAGGTGTGTGTGTGTGAGTGTGTGTGTATATAAGTGTGCATGTGTGCGAGTGTGTGTATGTGTAAGCTAATTATTTAGCTGGCTGCGTTTATTATATGATTTGCCATGCGTTGCGCCACGTAGCAGAACTTCATGCCAAATTAAACATTAGGTAAACTGTTTAGACACAGAAATAAGATCCTTGACTCATAAGCTGCTTATATATATTCGCTATAAAGTGGCATTTTAATAGAAGCAACCCAAGAGTTAGTTTGCATATGCTTGAAATGAAAATTGTAATGGGAATTGTTGTGCCCTAAGACTGCTGGGAATATATTACGAATGTTGTTTAGCTAAAGCAGAGAAGTTTATTGGCTAAAGCTGTGTGAAATTATTTAAGTTTTGAATAAATATATTTCTACATATTTATTTACATTTGAGTATACAAAAATATACAATAATAAATAATAATATTTGAGGCTTGAATAAATATATTTCCACATATTTATTTACATTTGAGAGTATACAATACTAATAATAAAAAAATAAAAATTTGCTTGTATATATTTCATTACATTTTAGAGTATAAAACTAAAAATAAAAAATACATATTCAAAGTGTATTTGCTTGTGTACATTTACTTAAATGTTTGAGTATGAAATCAACAAATTATAATAAAATAAAGAGTGTTTGATGAATAAATTTGCTTATATATATTTATAAGCGGTTTACATGGTAAAAAAAAAAAAAAAATAATAAAATAAAATAAAAATACATTTATTTACATTTTAAAATATCAATTAAATTTATAACATACAGAGTTTAAATCTCTTTTAATGGAGAAGATAAGATTAGAAAATTTTTTTTTGCTGTACAGCTCCCACATTGGATTTTTGGTTGAAACAGACTGAATTGAGTATTATATATTAGTATTATATATGAGTATTATATATAAAAGCAAACTTGGTTGTTATTTACTTGAAATTCTTGGGTAAAGCATTGTTTGATATAGTCTCAATAATTTGTACCCCGTTAAATCGCAAATCGCGATTAATCGAAAAATAATTCTATTCCCGTGCAATATTCAATTATTCTCGGCAATCGGAATTTCTGTGTAAATCGAAAAAAAAACTGATCCCCTTGGCATTTCGAATCATCGGCATTTAATCGAATAGCAGGAGTCCTACATTTCAATGTTAACCAGTTTTTGCTAGTGACTAATAGCTTATCTTATTATTAGTAACAAAGAGCTTTCTTCTTCTTTATATAAGATTATATGCGATTATATTGAAATATAATTTTTAGTTATACTGCAAACAAATATATTTATGTTCACTTGCTTGCAGGTAAATCCCTCGCACGTGCGACACCATAAAATACTTCGGGACACGCGCAACGAGATGGAAACCTCCATAGTGGGCATACACTTCGTGGTGACGGATCAGCACTTTGAAAATGGCAAACTGAAGGTAATTAAAGAGAGCGCATTAATGTGAGAGCTGAGAATTGTATATAACAATCACACATATATCAACAGCTGCGCTGCAGTGCCCAGCTGCATGATATCTACTGGAAGACGACGGAGAAGACCATTTTGGAGGCGGATCCGTTTGGCAAGTATGGTGGCAACGGGGCCAGCGGGAATCGCGTGAGTGCCGATGAGATATATGACCAGTATACGCTGCATGAGGACGAGCAGTTCCACAACAAGAAGAACAGCTACCTGACCCAGCTGCAGGGTAAGTTCTTCTTTTAGTTTCCGTCTTTTTTTTTTTGTTTTGTCAGCCAATTAGCACACACATGCACCTAGACAAAAGGCAGTAAATGCAACAACAACAACAGCAACTACAACTACATCCACAACAACAACAGCAAAAGAGTACATGGCCTGCATTTTTCTATTTCTCGCTAGACTTTCTCTTTCATTTTGTACCCTCAGGCGAAGAAGATGACGGAGCGGATGGTTTAGAGGATGGCGGCGCCGCCTGGCGAGGCGTCAGCTCCGCCTCCTCCAGCTCAACGTTGTCGCTGGCGCCGAGTGGCCTGGCTGCCACGCTGCTGGCGCTGCTCAGCTGGTCGCTGGCCAGGCAATTAGTGTCGCAGCTGGCGCCGATTACAAAGCACAGCCCGATGCCGATGCCGATGCGGGCGCTGCAGCCGGACCGGCAGAGCCAGAGCAAAGGCCTGCGGGCGCTTTGCTGCACGGACAGCAGTAACAGGAGCAGCGGCAGCAGCAGCAGCAACAACAAAGGATGCAGCAAAGGATGCAGCAGATGCATCAGGCAATTAACATGATTCAATTGTCACGCAACTCTTGTGCCACACTTCAGGGAGGAACAGCGGAAGGAGAAAATGCAACAGCAACAGCAACAGCAGCAGCGGCGGCGGCAGCGGCAGCAGGCAGCAAAGTAGGCTTCAGCCCTAGGCAACAGCAAGCAACTGCTAAATGCATCTAAAATATTTAATCCTCAACACAAACAGACAACAGTTTCAGCTAGCTCAAAAAAAAAAAGTCGTTTCGAAGGCATTTAAAAACACACACACACACACATATACAAGCAAAAAGCAAATAAAAATGGTGAATTTTCTCAAGAAAGCAGCAGCAACTACAACCTATCGCTAGGTTTCCTTAAATACAAAATCATTTGTTTCGTTTGCCGAGCCGAGCCAATAGAATGGAACCTTTTGCGAACTGGTTCACTCTCTATGATTTTTACACTATGAAATGAAAATGAAAAAACTTATACGAAAAAGAAACCTAAAAATAAAAAAAAAAATAAAATAAAAAAAAAAACCAAAACGAGTTGGAAAAATGTTGTGCTAAGCTTTTCACTTTGTTTCTCTACAATTAAAATATATATATAAATAAATATATATATAAATCTATATTTATATTTATATAACGAAAGTCAAAATGATTTATATACAAACATAAATAAATGATTGATATTTATATGTAACATATAAAGTTATATACAGACAGATACACATACATAACTACATAAATACAATACATATATACATATATACATACATACATACATACATACTCAACACAAACACATACAGAACACAATCCCCAAAGAGTAAAGTGAAAGAAGAAGAGCAATTAATTTGTAAGTCTATAAATACGCCTATATGTATGTAAATTCATATATGTATGTAATTGTATATAATATGAAGAAAACGAAAAACCAAAAACATAAGAAACGTAAATTGTATAATTGATAAGTATTTACGGTAGATAATCAAAAATAAAAAATAAAAAAACAAGCGAAACAAGAAGAGTTTGAAGAAATTTTTACTGGGCAATTTGAATTAAAAGTAAGTAAAATTAGTTTTTATAAAATTTACATAAATCTCTGGATTATTGACATTTTTAAAAATTAAAATAAAAAAAACTTCAAACTAAAAAAATTAATTTAACTAAAAAAAATCCCTTTAAATATATTAAAAAATGCTTCACTTTTATTTTTGACATTTTTCGTAAATTATATTATAGTAAATAATAATATTTAGGCAAAACTTAAATCATGTTGAAGCGCCTCCATCTACTATGAATATATCATAAGCTTTAATCGCAAGTATCAAGTACGTGGAGGATGATAGTCTTGCTTATCCGGCTGCTCCATATAATTACGCAATTAATTATTTACATTCCGAGAACTCACGCCCGGCCCGGCCCGGCACGGCCCGAAACGGACAGCTCATTAATGATCCTTCGGCCGCAGCAGGACTCGAAATACTTATAAGAAATGACAACAATAAAGATGAGCTGCTGCTGCTGGGGCCATTGTGGAGCCGTGGGGTAGTTTGGGTGGGCGGGCGTCCAGCGTTGCCTGCGAAGGCATCCCCTACAATTAGCATAACTAAAACGCTCAATTAGACGCCCAAAACTCGCAGGACTCGCCAGCCTGGCCAGGCAGGGCAAGGACAGGCTCAGCGTCCAGCTCGAGCGACGTCTGCCTGTTGTGCAATGCAATTTTCACCTTTTATTACACATTTCTTTTTCTTTGTTTCCTTAATTTCATTTTGTGCATGCCTGTTCGGCAGGCGATTTGAGGTATATTGGTTTCAGCTGGTATGATGTGGCTTAGCTGGCAATTTATTTGTGAATGTGGAATAATCGCCATATGCCTATTGATATTCCTTTCAAAGTCTTCTTCTGGTATTGGCCACACCGCTTAATAAGGCTTTACATATATATATGCGATTCAGAATTTACAGCAATGTTTTAATTTTCTTTAAAAATACTAAATTGAATTTCCCATCATTTCAGCCAATTTTTATTATTTTCAATATTTTAGAGATATTGAAAAAAAAAAAAAAAACACAAATGATTAGAGCTATTGCTTAAATGTTATAAAAATTATTTAACATTCTTGGAAACTGTGAAAAACGATATACATATGATGCATAGGGATTCCACCTGAGTAGAGCCTGGACTTTGCAGAACATGACCCATTCCTCTCATATCTTTCGGCTTCATATAGCTTCCAAGCTTCCGAACTATTCTAAGAAAGGTTCAATTAAACCGACTTAAAAGTCTTGAAGCCTTTTTTTTGCTTTACAATACGTGTGAGCAGGTATCAGCAAGTCGATAAATAGCATTCTCTTACAACATACTTAATTGTTATACACATGTATATATATATAAATATATTTTCTTTTTTGTTCATTGTCTGTCACTGCGTAATGTTTATTTTTAATTATATTTTTTGTTGTTGTTTTGTTTTTGCGCACATTGTTTTTCTGTGATTGTTGTTGTTGTTGTCCATTTCGCTCAGTGTATTGCTCTTTGCTTTTTGTGGACGATTTGAGGGTGTAATAAACGTTAATGGCGGTTGACCACAAAGAGAAATTGCGAACACTTTGTTTTTCGGCCACGTTCCTTTTGTCGCACATTTTCCCACAGAGCATTTCACTGATTAGCGCACTTTTCCTTACAATTCTCTCATCTCTCTTCTCCTTTCTTTCCGCTCTTCTTTCTTTTTGTCTTTTGATTATTTTGTGTGTGTGTGTGTGGCAGCAGCAGCAGCAGCAGAGCATTAGATTTAATTGGTTCTATTTAATTGATGATTTGTTATCAGCTGTTTAGTGCTTAATTATTTGCATTACTTATGCCATTAGACGTAAATAGTCGAATAGATATATAGTTGGGTCGACAAAGGACAACAACGGCCAAGTTTATCAAGCGTATCAGCCAAGTTTTTCAGGCAAAGCGGCTAAAAGCATTTAACTTGTGAAAATATATAAAAATAGAATGCAGTTCCAAAAAAATAAAAAATAAAATAAAATAATAAAAAAAAAACAGCGAAGCGAGGCGAAGAAGTCGATGTTTGTCAGAGTTTAGCTTCCTTCCGCCTTTTTCGTTGGCAAAAGTTTTCGACCAAGCGAAAGTTAAGTATTTACAAAAGTAAAGCGGCTTTTAAAAATGTTCAAGCAACTTGGCTTGGCTTTTCACTTAGCGACAAACTGACGCTCAGTAGCAGCAGCAGCAACAACAACAACAACAATGAGACACACATCAAGTCAAGATGATGTCGCTACATATTCATAATGCTGATTGTCGTTGTTGTCCCCGTTGTCAGCAGGCAGATTGAAAATTTATTCAAAAGTCTGGCAAGTCTGCAAGTGGCTGCTGCCACGCCCCTCCCGTCGGCTCAGCACCAGCCCCGTCCGACTCGCCCTGGGATAATAACTTTAACTTGAAAAGTAGCTCACAAGCAGCTTTGTATTGTAGTTTTTCCTTTTCTCTCTTTTCTTTCTCTTCTTTTTCTCTTTTTTTTGCGGTGTATTATTTTCGTTTCATTTTTTCATATTTTTACCCCAACTGCTTTTCATTTAAGTGAATGTCAGCGCATTTTCACATAACTAAAGAAATGCCAGTTACAAATTTAACTGGCGTTCAGCTCTCGAATATTGCAACTGGTAAAAAATTATGGACTTTAGGGTGGTTTAAATTGCATACAAATGTTGGTCAAGAAATTTGGATTTTATTCGTAATTGAATTGAAATGGCCTAATAAAAAATTATAATAACGTAATACGAGAATGATGGGCAGTATTTGGAATGTGAGGATGATTTTCATTGCTATAGTTTTATTTAAATTTTTATTATTATGTCTTTCTTTTTTTTTCTTCTATTTTTATTTATTTATTTAAATTTGTTTGCATATTTTTTTAACAGGGTTTTTTTTTTTTAATGTTAGCAGCAAAAATAGGACTAACTAACTTAGCATAGGGTGTAGTCAAAAGCCCATAAAAGTAAAGTAAAATCACTAACAACAACTAGAAATTCACAGAAATAAATCTTAAAAAATGCTTTTTCATTTTTGCAGTAGAATAAAATAAATAAAATATTTCATACAATATTCAATTTAATTTAGGTTTGGCGTGCGATCGCCATGGCAGCGGCTAACTGTATATAACTGTTGAAATTGATTATGATATTTTATAATACCCCATATAAGTGCATATGAGTAGGAGAAATGCGAGCAGCGAGCGTCAACTACAAGCAAATGCACGTGCAAATCAGGTGGTATTTTAACAAACAGAGCAAAGACCAAGGTAAGCCATCTGAGGTGAGGGCTTGCCGCACACACAGGACCACAACATATTCGCAGACACACACACACACACACACACACACACATTTCTCCACACTCGCATTTAAAGTCATAAATTTTTATTTGTATGATGATGACTTAAGTTCTACGTGCGTAACAACGACTCCAGCTATACCTGGGCTACCCCTCCGCTCAACACAAACACACAGAGGCACACATAAAGACAGCCAGCTGGCTTTAGTTAAGTGCATGATTATGCTTTTAGTGGCATGTTGAGGTTTTGTCAGTCAGTTGTGTGCTCTCAGCCAGCCCCAGCAACAGCAAGAACAAACTTACAACGGGTCATTATTTTTTTTATTGCAAATACTTGAAACTGACATTGACTATGTATGTGTGCGTGTGTGTGTGTGTGCATGTGAGAAACAGCTGTTCCACACACGTACTTAGATTACCACCAACAACTTGCCACGCCCCTGTTTCGGCGCCCCTCTGTGCACACGCACATCCTGTGCAAACGTGCGTGAATAGAAAATTCTCTTTGGGCTTTCCCGGCCTGGCCGCCCGTCGTGCTTCAAAGGTGCTTCATGTAAGATTTTCATTACACTTTTCCGGAGCTATTCTAAAATTCATAACGGTAACTGTCTTCAAGAGTTGAAGTAATCAACATCTCGCACATATTCACTTTGTCAATATGCAAGTCAAGTTTATAATATATTAATATATTATTAAACACATTTTGAAAGAGTTTAATTTTTACGGAGCTTTTGTAAATTATAAATTAAAGTACATAAATGAAAGTGATTTCATATTAACTTACTTTTAATAGAAAACATTAAGTATTTCTTAAAAGTTTTAGCTAAACAGAAGATTCGTTTGATATGTATTATATAGCTTATTAATATTTAAGTGTATTATTTTATTACAATTGAAATATTCATATAAA